TACAGGTGTGCAGCACCACGTTTGGCTAATTTTTTGATTTTCTTGTAGAGACAGGGTAGATATCTTGCCTAGGTAGGTCTCAAACTCCTAGGCTCAGTAGTCCTCCAACCTCGTCCTTCTAAAATGCTGGGATTACAGATATGAGTCATCATGCTTGACCAGGAAAAATATTTTTTTGAAGGGACTAGCTTCACTTTTCTGGATTATTCTTATAATTCACGTAATCCTCATTTCTGTCACAGTCTTTGTCTTACGTACAGGGCAGCCTTATTAAAGAACCAGCATTCTCTTACTGTGTGAGAAAATGACCCCTTTAAGGTTATATTTTCTTATAGCATTTTTGTTTTAGTTGAGATTTATATACAAATTACTAATTTGCTGCCAGAGGTTCAAGTTTTAAAAATACTTCCAGCTGGGCGCGGTGGCTCGCGCCTATAATCCCAGCACTTTGGGAGGCTGAGGTGAGAGGATTGCCTGAGTCTACAGGTTCGAAAACAGCCTGGGCAACTTGGCAGGACCTTGTCTCTACAATAAATCCAAAAATTAGCTGGGTGTGGTGGTGCGTGCCTGTAATTCCAGCTACTTGGAAGACTGAGGCAGAAGGATCGCCTGAGCCCAGCAGGTCGAGGCTGTGGTGGCTGTGAACGTGCACTCCAGCCAGGGTGACAGAGTGAGACTCTAACTCAAAAAAATAAAAAAACAAATTAAAATAAAAAATAGCTCCTCATGTCCTCCCTCTGGTCATTTCCTTAGTGTGATGGCGTAGGCATCCATCCCAGGGTTGCTGTGCTGACTCAAACCCCAGAGTCACAGACAGGCTGTTTTTGCTCCCCCTTGCCCTCCTGACCTTTATGGTAACTGCTCTTTCGGCTGGAGCAGGCCTATGTGAGTCACATAGGGTCTGCAGGCTCAGCCCCTGAAAGCCTCCTCTGGGAAATGGGCTTAAGGGGAGTTTCTTCTTCTGTTCCAAAGACCACTGGGATCCTTATAGGCCTGGCTGTGTTGGCCGCCTTGTTGGGCCGGGAGTGGCTTGGCTAGACTACCCCTGGGGAGGCAGGGTCTGGGTTCAGGGCCTAAAACAGTGGGAAAAAATGTTAAACATTTAGGAAACTGGTGCGCATCAGTTACAAGTGTGACTCAGGGAGAGACAAGAACTAGGAATCTTTGTGTAATGGGTCATGACTCCGAAGGAGTTGAATTTGATTAAACTCTTTTTGTACGTTGTTTATTTATTTATAAAATTGCAGAAAGTGAGTTCAGAAGAAAGTGTTTACTTCTTGTGTCCTGCCCTCAAAACGTGTTCTCCAGGAGATTCAGCAATACATATTATATTTTCTGAAACCATATCACTGTAGTTCTTTCTTTCATTGCTGCTATTATATACAAACATGATATATTTTTGGCTTCATTTTCTGTGCATATTTTAAAAGATATTTCATAGTATCATGTCAATGTATAGACAATCTAATGCCTAAGACTTAGACATTGGTTTTTAGGACATTATTATTATTATTATTTTAGATGGGGTCTCACTCTGTCACCCAGGCTGGAGTGCAGTGGCACGATCATGGCTTGCCTCAGCCTCCCAAGTAGCTGAGTCTATAGACGCACGCCTGGATTTTGTAGAGACAAGGTCTATGTTGCCTACACTGGTCTTGGGCTCCTGCGATCAAGTGATCCTCTCCCCTTGGCCTCCCAGAGTGTTGGGATTACAGGTGTGAGCCACTGTACCCGGCCAGGATATTATTTCTGAAACAGATGTATAAATGCTTGAAGTAAGGTGATGGATATTGAAAGCGCTTTATACGTTATCTACTGGCATAAAAAAATTATCGTTATTGGACACAAAAATAGTAAATGTTTTCATTATGAAAATACTTTACAAGGCCATTTGCTGGAAAAATATGTGATGGCCTTGTGGTTTGGGCATTGTCATTTTTGGAGTTCCCTTGAAGGCTTCCAGACATAACATAAGTCAAAGAAGACAAAAATCCTTCCCAAGAACATTCCATGGTCTGATCTTGGTTTTAAAATAGTTCTAAATGTTATAGAAAAAAAAAGACAAATTAAAAATAATGTAATACACTTTTTATGGGCAAGTTCCAAGCTCAAGAATCACAGAATCAGACCTATCACTGAAAGAAAGGACTGGAAAAGTGAACCAGGGGAAGATCTTTGGTTAAAATAACTCTCCCAGGTGGTCTGATGGCTGGCCTTAGGGAGGCTCCCACAGTCCCCAGAGGTGGAGGGAGAGAGGGCCAAAGGCCGAGATCAGGTGGCGTGAGCAGGACAGGCAGGGACAGCTGCTTTCTCCCCCCTTGTAACCCACTGATGATGAGTCTTAACTCTGGCAGCAGAGAAGAACATGCCTGGAGTCAAGGGAAGTGCCCGCAACCTTCCTTTTGACTCTCCTCCAGCTGGGGACCTGAGTTCAGGATGTGTCCCAGCAGGCTGCCCCAGTGGTTGGCTCAGTGAAGAGAGAGGAAGAAAGAGGGGAAGGGAGAAAGGAAGAGGAAGAGGTAACTTGGAGAGAAATACGTAGGGAAAACATACGCCCTGGCTTTCTTTTTAAGGTGGATGGGAACTAATTAAACAGAATGTGAGCGAATTAAGTACAGGATAGGCCGGTGGAAATGAGTAAGGGTAACTGGTATGCTTCATTTGCACCAGGAAAAGAGGCTCCAGCCCTAAAGAGCGACTGGGTTAGATTTCCTGGGGGAAGCCATTTCTGCCACTGCCTGCACCCTTAAGACTGGAGAGCATGTAGCCCCATTTTATTTTATTTTTTTTTGAGTCGGAGTCTCACTCTGTTGCTCAGGCTGGAGTGCAGTGATGCTCACGGCCACTACAGCCCCCACCTGCTGGGCTCAGGCGATCCTTCTTAGTTGAAACCACAGGCATGTGCCACCACGCACTGGTCTCGAACCCCTGGGCTCAGGCAATCTTCTCACCTCCACCACCCAAAGTGCTGGGATTTCAGGCATGAGCACGCCTAGCCAAGCATGTAACCTTGTTATCCAGAAAGTGCAGCTTGTTCACACACAAGCCTGTCCATCTGCATGATAAATTGCGTCACCAAACATTCATCTGATCCCTGTTCCTTGGCTCCACTGGACACATAGTCCCTCTTCCCAGCACCCAAGGCTGAGAGGAAGGAGGTGATCTGGGGCCAGGAGACTGGGCTGCCCCCAAGGACGTCCCTGAGCCCACAGGAGCAGGGAGAGTGCAGCAAGCAGGCAGGATTCATGGGGCGATGTTCATTCACTTACCTGGTGCCTGCTGGGCTCTGACCCTGTGCCAAGCCCTAAGCCGGGCCTGGGAATAGGATGGGGAAGAAGACAGGCCAAGTCCTGTCCTCATGGGGCTTACTTTCTAGGCGAGACAAGTAATACAGAATAAACCCAGGCATGTAGACTATGTGATTGAGCAGATGGCAGGGTAGAGAGTGGTGGGGATAGGATGGGCTGCTTTAAGTTGGGGTCAGGAAGACCTTTGAGGGGTGCATGTGAGCAGAGACCTGGTGATGCGTGGGAGCCATGAAGACCCCTGGAGGAGTGTTCCAGGCCGAGGGAGGAGGAAGGGCAAAGCGGAGGGTGGTGTGTGCCAGGCACGGTGAGAAGACTGGTCTGACTAGGGTGGACTGAGCCAGGGGTGCCAGGGCATGTGTCTGGAGAGGGAAGCTGGGCCACATCTTTCAGGGCCTTTGTCTTTTTTGGTAATAAACGTTTACTCCAAAGGAGTTGCATTTGACTGAACTTGCGTTTTGCTATTTAAAGTTCCAGCGTGTGGTTCTATGTCAGGTGAGAATACACTGAGCTGCAGCACAAAACAGTCTGATTCACATGTTTAAAATATTACTCTGGGTTGGGTGTGGTGGTGTGCGCCTATGATCCTGGCACTTTGGGAGGCTGAGGCGGGAGGATCGCTTGAGGCCAAGAGTTTGAGAACAGCCGGGGCGACAGAGTTTATGGAGGTGGGGAAAGCACTTTGAGGTAATTAGGAATGGAGGGGCACTGGGATTTCTACTCATGAAAGTAGTGCATGTGGTCTGCACAGAGGGAACCCAGCTGAGTTTGTAGTAGCCGGGTTGTGGTTGACATTTTCCCTCTTCAAACTTTTATTTTTGACATAATGTTGTTTGTGTAATTTAAAAAGAACTAAAGAGGCTGGGCGCGGTTGCTCAGCCTGTAATCCCAGCACTTTGGGAGGCCAAGGTGAGAGAATTGCTTGAGCCTAGGGGTTTGAGACCAGCCTGAGCGACTTGTGAGACCTTGTCTCTACAATAAATCCCAAAAACTAGCCGGGTGTGACGGCGTGCGTCTGTAGTTCCAGCTCCGTGGAAGGCTGAGGTGGAAGGATCGCCTAAACCCTGCAGGTCAAGGCTGTGGTGTGGGGGCCATGAGCATGCCACTGCACTCCTCCGGCCTGGGCGACAAGAGTGAGACTAACTCCAAAAAAAAAGAAAGGAAATGAAGAAGACCAGGCGTGGTGGCTCATGCTTGTAATCCCAACACTTTGGGAGGCAGAGGCGAGAGGATTGCCTGAGCCCAGGATTTGGGAACCAGCCTGGGCAGCATGGTGAGATCTTGTCTCTACAATAAATTAAAAATCAGCTGAGTGTGGTGGTGCGTGCCTGTGGTTCCAGTTCCTTGGAAGGCTGAGGCAGAAGGATTGATTGAGCCCGGCAGGCCGAGGCTGTGGTGGCTATGAGTGTGCCACTGCACTCCAGCCTGGGTGACAGAGTGAGACTCTGACTAAAAATAAATAAGAAAAAGAAAAAGAAATAAAGCAATCCCATTTTACAGGAGTAGGCCAGAAAGAAACTGAATTACTGAAACTGACGGTGTGCTGGGAGAAGGTTTGCTGCTGAGAAGCCTTTGCTCACTGGGATGATGTCTGGCCCTCCTTGAATCGGGGGTCTTTTTGCCTGGAGGAGGCGCCCAGCGAGGTTTTTTCTGACTTCTGACGTGTCCTCATGCATTTCCAAACATTCTTTACAGCTTAGACCATGCTCAGCCTCCAAGCGGCCTCGTCATCGACAAAGAATCTGAAGTTTACAAGATGCTGCAGGAGAAACAGGAGTTGAACGAGCCCCCGAAACAGTCCACGTCCTTCCTCGTTCTGCAGGAAATCCTGGAGTCGGAGGAAAAAGGTAACCAGCCTCACCTGCGGTCAGAGGCTCTTGTTCAGGGTCTGGTGTGCCCGTCAGTCATTTCTGAAGCTCAGGTGAATGCAGCTCGAAGAGGTGGAAACGGTACAGCATTGCTTTGAAAGGCGGGGGCTGGCCAGGCGCGGTGGCTCATGCCTATATTCCCGGCCCTTTGGGAGGCCGAGGTGAGAGGATTGCCTGAGCCCATGTGTTTGAGACCAGCCTGGACAACTTGGTGAGACCTCATCTCTATAGTAAATCATAAAATTAGTCGGGCGTGGTGGCGCGCGCCTGTAGTTTCAGCTACTTGGAAGGCTGAGGGGAAAGATTGCCTGAGCCCAGCAGGTTCTGCAGTGGCTGTGAGCGGGCCACTGCACTCCAGCCTGGGTGACAGAGTGAAACTCCAACTAAAAAAAAAAAAAAAAAAAAGAAAAAGAAAAAGACAGGGGCTTTGAAATCTGGAACCTGTTTTAAAATGGTGAGAGAGTGAGAAATTGGGGAAGAGGGTATGCCCTCCTGACCACACCTCCTGCCCGAGTCTTTTTTTTATTTTTTATTTTTTGAGTTGGGATCTCCCTCTGTTATTCAGGCTGTAGTGCAGTGGCATATCATATCTCACTGCAGGCTCAACCTCCTAGGCTCAGATGATCCTTCTGCCTCAGCCTCCCTAATAGCTGGGGTAACAGATGTTAATTTTATTTATTTGTTTGTTTATTTTATTTTATTTATTTATTGTAAGGACAAGGCCTTGCTATATTGCCCTGACTGTTCTGGAACGCCTGGGCTCAAGTAATGCTCCTGCCTCAGCCTCCCAACAAAAGTGCTGGGATTATAGGCATGAGCTCTGTGCCTGGCTGTGTCCTGTCACGTGTGCATAAGGTTGCCGAGGTTGGAGTGAGCTTGACTGCTGTGGGATTCTGTGGGTCTGTCCCTTGTTGGTGGTTCGGTTTGAGCCTACAAACCACGCTCTGGTGATGGCTGAGGAGTAGGAGGGGGTGGAGGCTGTGGGTGATGATGGCAAACGGAATGAGGATGGGTTGGCATCCAGGGAAGCCAGGTGCTGGCTTTCCTTGGGGCCGTATGTTTGCTTCTCCTCCAGGGCATGTGGCCTCTTGAGTCCTGAGAGCTCGTGTGGCCACATTCATACTGTGTGACCTTAGGCAAGTCTCTGAACCTTTCCAGGCCTGTTTTCTCATCTGTGCACTCCAAGATTGTCGTGACGATCAGGTGTCATAAATTGTGCAAAACACCCATCATCTTGACCAAGTTGGTGCTTCTTAATCATGATGATGCTTGAAGCCTGATGAAGAAACTCTCTCGTTCATGGGGTGATATGAGCTCTGATGCCAGAGGCACCCAGGGCCACCCCTTCTCAAGAGATAATTCTTCTCATGGTAGAAATTATGTACAACGAGGCGGGACCCCCAAAAGCCAGCAATTATCTTTCGGAGGGTGGGACCCTTGTAGTCCAGGCTTGCCCCACGAGGTAAGTGTTCTAGGAACCCATTGGCATCGGTGGACCAGCTGGCGTTGTTGTGAGAGGCTGCGTTCGGCTTCAGGGAATTTTTTCTTGAAGATTCTTTGCCCATTTCTTGATGGGCGATTTACAAGCACACCTGTCCACACTGCGTTGAGTGTTCAGCAGTTTTCGGCCAAAACCGGCATGACGCCTGGGTCCCACCCTCCCTGTTCACCAGATCTCGCCCTGGGTGACTTTCTTTTTTGTTTCCCCGGATGAAAAAATCCTCAAAGGAAAATGTTTTGCTGATATGGAAGAGGTGAGACAAAATAGGACAGCAACCTAAAAGGCATCAAAACGGACGGGTCCAAAATGGTTTTAAGCAGCAATGGAAAACGCATCTTGATAAATATGCTACATCAAATGGAGAGTGCTTTGAAGGTGACTGAAGTCTAAACATGCAAGGATAAATATGCAATTTTTTATAAATACATTCTGAGTTTTTTGGGGATCCCCTCATATATATGTATTATGATCATATTTCTGCAGTTAGCAGTAAAGATATCTTTTTTTTTTTTTAATCAGCGTCTCACTTTGTTGCCCTGGCTAGAGAGCAGCGGCACACTCATGGCCACTGCACCCTCGACCTGCTGGGCTCAGGTGATCCTTCTATCTCAGCCTTCCAAGTATCTGGACTATAGGTGTGTGTCACCATGCCCGGCTAATTTTTTTTTATTTATTTGACGAGATCTCGCCAAGTTGCCCAGGCTGGTCTCGAACGCTTGGGCTCAGGCAATCCTCTCGCCTCGGTCTCCCAAAGTGCTGGAATGACAGGCGTGAGCCACTGCACCCGGCCCGTATCTCTTTTAATAAAAACGGTATGTTGGCCGGGCTCGGTGGCTCAGCCTGTCATCCCAGCAATTTGGGAGGCCGAGGTGAGTGGATTGCCTGAGCCTGCAGGTTCGAGACCAGCCCGGGAAACTTGGCAAGACCTCGTCTCTACAATAAATAAAAAATTAGCTGGGCGTGGTAGTGCGCACCTGTAGTTCCAGTTACTTGGAAGGCTGAGGCAGAAGGATCGCCGGCGCCCAGCAGGTTGAGGCTGCGGTGGCCTTGAATATGCCACTGCATTCCTGCCTGGGTGACGGAGTGAGACTCCAACTCAAAAAAAACCCAACAGAATAAAACGGTATGTTGTGAGAAATTGTGCCAGGTGGTTGTGTTGCAGAAAGATGCTGTTTTTTTTCCCTTCTCCATCTCACAAGGGTGACCTGTGGAATACTGGCCTCCGGCTCCCTGACTCCCAGGAGGTCTCCCATCAGCACCTCTTAGGATTCTCACGATCAGCCTTTCCTGGAGAGCTGGGTTTTGCACTGTTCCTGGTCCCCTTGAAGCTCAGCCTTCCACACTCTGTCTGTGTCCCTTTATTTAAGGCGCGGGGCAAGTCCCTGGAGTCACGCTCTACCGTTATCTTCCCTCCCCCAATATGCCCACTTACAAAGAGTTTGTGCTCCTGAGAGGGACACATGGTGAGTCTGAGCCAGGCTACAGAGGAACTGAGGAACCAGGGGGACCTCTGGAAGAGCTCCCTCCCTTCTCAGCAACCTCAGCTGAAGACTCTGTTCTGGGAAGCCATTCCTGAGCGGAAAGTGTCCTACCGAGCACACTTGACCCCCGGGCTTCCTCCGCATTTGCGGGTTCTTTAGAGAGAGTGGCCATTTACAGCCATAGGAAGTTAGGAAGAAAAAGTGCTTCTTTTTTTTTTCCTTTTGAGACAGAGTCTTGCTCTGTCACCCAAGCTAGAGTGCAGTGGTGCGATCATAGCTCACAGTAGCCTCAAACTTCTGGGCTTGAGCAATCCTCTCACCTCGGCCTCCCAAGTATATAGGTGCCTGCCACCACACCTGGCTAATTTAAACATATGTATAATTTTTTTTATTTTTAATTTATTTTTAATTTTTTGAATTGGAGTCTCACTCTGTTGCCCAGGCTGGAGTGCCATGGCACACTCACCGCCACCCTGGTATCAACCTCTACTGGTCTCTGGCTATCCTTCTGCCTCAGCCTCCCAAGTAGCCGGAACTACAGGTGTGTGCTACCATGCCTGGCTAATTTTTGATTTATTGTAGAGACAGGCTCTCACTAAGTTGCCTGGGCTGGTCTCGAACCCGTGGGCTCAGGCAATCCACTCGCCTCAGCCTCCCAAATTGCTGGGATGATAGGCTGAGCCACTGAGCCCGGGCCAAATTTTTTTTCAGAGACACGATCTTTCTGTGTTGCCCAGGCTGGTTTCCAGCGATCCTCCCCCCTTAGCCTCCCCAAGTACTGAGATTATAGGCGTGAGCCACAGCACCTGGCCTGAATAAAAGAATAGTATTCTACCAGCACTTTCTCCCTTTGCTTTGAGTACTTGAGCAGCTGGGAAGTAACGAGCCGTCCTTTGTATTAAGTTCCAGTGTTGACCCGGACTGACTTGGGGACCAGCCCAAGTAAGTAGGTGTGAAACCCTTTGGTCAGAGGCAAAGTCAGCTCATCCCAACCCCAACGAGGACATGGGCAGAGGCTGCAGACCTCAGCTGGGCTCACAGAGAAGGCCTCGAGCATGGTGTTGGCAACTTCATGCCGTCACAATCTGGACTCCTCCTTCCATCCTGTACTCCATCAGCCAAACCCATGGCCTCTACCTTCAAGGTTGCCTCGTGGTCCTGGTTGGCAGCTGGTGCTCCAGCCATCTCACTCATGTTCAGGCCGCAGGGAGGAAGAAGGGAGACAGGGCTAACTGGGAAGTCTCCCTTTCAGATGAGCCTGTTTTTACCCACTCAGAACTCCCACATTGCTATCCACTTGCATTTTATTGACCCAAATTTAGTCACGTGGCCACTCCTAGTTGCACGAGAGCCTGGTGATTATAATTTTTTATCCTTTAGGCTGGATGCCTTCTTGCCCCAAAGATAATCAGCGTTTTCCTAAAAAGAAAGAGGGAGATAACAGATCTGCTAGTTTCTCCTGTATCTCTCTCTCTCTCTTTTTATTTTGAGTCGAGGTCTCACTTTGTTGCCCAGGCTGGAGTGCAGTGGCACAGTCACCGCTCACTATATCCTCGACCTCCAGGGCCCAGGCGATCCCCCTGCCTCAGCCTCCCGAGTAGCTGGGGCTACAGGCATGCACAGCCTCACCTGAATAATTTTTAAATTTTTTTGTAGAGATGAAGTCTTGCTATGTTGCCCAGGTCTTGAACTCCTGGGCTCAAGCAATCCTGTCGCCTCGACTTCCCAAAGTGTTGGCAGTATGGGACGCGCACCACCATGCTTGGCCTCTCCTGTATTTCGTTTTTTTTTTTTGAGTTGGAGTCTCACTGTCACCCAAACTGGAGTGCAGTGGCACGCTCCTGGCCCCTGCAGCCTCGACCTGCTGCGCTCCAGCGATCCTTCAGCCTCAGCCTTCCAAGTAGCCAGAACTACAGGCATGCGCTACCACGCCCAGCTAATTTTTGGTTTATTGTAGAGACGAAGTCTCGCCAACTTGCCTAGGTGGGTCTTGAACC